ACTATGTTTTACGTTAAGCATTACCTTCTGGTTTCTTACCACGTCAACTCTTGCGCTCTGCCTCACAGGGTAACTGAATACAATGGGTTACCTAGTCTAGTAGGTGTCGAAACGGATCACATTCCTATTTCTTATGAGCCCGATTCTGATCTACATATTCTCTATTTTGGAAGGCAAGAAGAAAATCGAGTGCAGACCACACATCATAAGGACGACGGCCAAGAGAAAGCGGCTTTTTCTTCTTGGCCGTCGTCTCTTATGGTGTGTGGTCTGCACTCGATTTTCTTCTCATCTTTCGAAATCGAGGGTACCTCGTCTTTTTGTTTTTCACTGTAAATCAAAAATGCGATAGGGGTTCATGGTTCAAAGGCAAGCCCTTGGCTAAAGCTAGTGTACAAGATTGTGTAAACTGGTATATACTCAAGCTGCAAAGCTATAAGTAAATATTCACCAGTTTACACAGCGGAGCAAACTGACCGTGGAAATGAAAGCAAGCGAAGCCATAGAAAATGCTAGAATCAAGCCCTGAAGAAACTAAGACGAGCTCAGGTGTGTACAAAGGAGACTGACTAGGAAAGACAAAACACGCGAAAGAGCACGTAGTATAAAGGAGCAGGCTGAACTCTTATCATCACTGTCTGTGGAGAAGGTGTGATGGTTGCAAATCCTTAACGATCATCGCTCTAGCGGCACATTTTGCTTTACGACGCTAGCACGGCTTTCGTAGGTTCAGACCCACGAAATCAGCGCGGTTCCCAGTAATGAGCCTAATCCCTGGGTTGGACTGTAAGTGACACTCTACTGCACTGGTTTTTATTCCCTTCAATCAACTCAAAAGTCGAATAAACCGTTCCAAGCAGGTAGTTCTTTCAAATCGGAACAGTCATGCACAGCTATGATGTGAGCTAGACCGCACTGTTCGTCTAAACGCCTGCCGCCAGAATTTTTCAATCAGTGAATTTTGAGCGTAGACGAAGAGACAAGCCATGCATTAGCACTAATCAATGTCCTCACCTTAGAAAATTGCCCATTTGGCTGGTGTCATTCAATTCAGTGTCAAGCAGCGCTTCGGCAAAGGATCGATCTCTAAAAAACTATAGATTTCGTGAAAATTCTTTGTTATCCGACCCCATTTCTCCATTTGAAAAGCGATTACTTCTGGAGACTAGTCGAATAAAAAGACCATTCAAAATTCTCCAAATACATCTGACATTATTCCAAATGATTAGTTCTGGAAGATTTGGCTTCCTAAGAAAGTGTGACATTCCTCTCGCCCTCCCCCCTCTCTCCCAAGTTGTCGCATGGGAGGAAGCTTCGGATTGCCTGACCCATGCCATCATCAGATCCACCCCAATGTTCCTATCCCCAGTAAAAACTGTGTTACTGCAGACGGCACCAACTATGTATTGCACTAAATGGCCATTTTTTACAAATAGACCCGAAAATTGAACCTGATTGTGTACTCCATATCGGTCGTAGAGTGGTCGATGAACTCACGGAGAAGTGTGTTCATCTGCTCGTGTGCTTGAACTGTACCTGCCATCTAAGCGAGCAATGTATGCTTTTAGCTTTTTCATAGCAACATCAAGTGAAAAGTACCTTTGCAGTTGTCTGGTCAAGACCGCTCAGTCGAATTTGCGCTGAACTGTTCCTCATTGAGGTCATGATTTCGTCGTAACGACTTCGTAGTGTCACCGGGAGGCTTACGATGAACGTTTGAAGATGCGAGGTGGGCTCCAGACCACGAAAACCACAAAGATCATCCTTAATCAGCACTAAACGCCATATCACGTTTGCTTAGGTAAATGGTGCTTGCTCACTCGCTCCTTCTGCAGAAATTCGTTCAT